TGAACCAGGAGATGTTGCTCTGTCTTCAAAAAGCCAAGTCGTACACAAATCTGTGTCTGAATCTCCTCCTGAAAGCACAAATTCTGGTGATATGGGCATCAAATCTATATGGCATACTGTGAGCCTGTTAAGTGTGTATTCAGGGATGGGYGAGTCTGGTCTGAATTCATCTCTGGATGTAGCAGAACCAGGAGAAGCTGACCTGACTTCTGAAAGACAAGGTATACTCCCATCAGTCTCTAACCCCTCATCTGAGTAAAGTGAGTCAGGAGATGTGGATCTACATGCTACTKCTTCTGGTTCATAGTGCGTGTACTGAAGGATTGGGGAGTCTGTAGACGTAAGCTGAAAAGAAGAAATCGACTCTGGTGAATTTGGTCTTTCATCCTCCTCAGAGAGCTGAGACATTGGTGCAAACTCCACATCTGATTCTATAGGGTCAGGTGATGATGGGCTACAACCACYGATAACAGCACAGCCTGGTAAAACCTGTCTGAAGTCAGGTATTGGAGARTCAGCTGCAAGTGTTTTACTAGCTGATGCTAAAGAGTCAGGAGATGAAGGTCGGTCATCATAAAACACTGCCCAACTGACGTCATGTTCTGACTCTGAGGATACAGACTCAGGGGAGTAAGACCTGCTCTCTGATTTTAAATCTGGTGACAAAAAACTATTTCCAAGTTTTGGTTCTGACTCAGAGGTATTTTTTCTCCTTTGGGTTTCATACAACAAATTCATTGAGGAGGCATGCTCAACATTTGGTGGAGCAGACTGATGAGACACCAAACTAAACCTAACAAATGAGGGAAAACGTTCAGTTATTCTTGCAATGAGAGGCCCAGTTGAATCTTCGTGTTCATCTTCAGACTCTAACAAATCAGGTGAAGGAGGTCGGTGCTCATGTAATCCTGATGCAGGCGAGTCATCTTTACAGTCTATATCAGAATAACATGCAGGCTCTGGTGAAGTGGATTTGCATTCAGTAGGTAAAATAAATGGAGTTGGAAATGCAAGTGGTGTAAAATTAGATATGGGTGACTCAGGTGAAAGTATCCTGGACTCATGTTCATCAGGTGTAGGGCTTCTCTCTTCTACCTCATTAGGAGGAAGACTTAGAGTCTCCAGTTCTGAGTCTGATATGCCCACTGTAGGAGATGAGGTCACTGAGGCCAAGAAACTTGGGTCTTTATTTTGAACAAATGATGGTAAAGGAGAGTCTGGAGACTTGTTTATGGATATGGTTGAACTAGGAGAAGATGTTCTTAGTTCTGCTAGTAAAAGAGACATTGGAGACATTGACTTGGGTACCATCTCAGTTTCTGAAGACCATGATTGTGGAGAAGACGGTCTGTTTTGTATACACTCAGTTAAACKCTCTATACCTGAGGAGCTTACTGAGGAAATTGAAAACTGYAAAACTTGGGAATCYAGGCACAAATCTTTAAATGGCTCTGGAGAACCTGATCTTTGTCCAGTTAATGCCCTTTCTTGATGTGATAAAGGCCCAGAATCTGATTCTGTACTGTTCAACTTCACATTATCCTCTAGTTCTGTCATATCTGCCACCTCAGAAACATACTCAGTTCTTGTTGCAACAAACTCAAARCCTGTTGTACCGAAGACCATCTCTCCAACATACTGAGGGTCACGTATCTGAGAAATAAGCTTCCAAAGTTCCGGACCATAAACATGTTTAGAGACAGCCCTACTAATTTCTTCTACAGACTGATGGTTACTGCACAGGAGCCCCTCTGTGATCTCAGACACTTCTGAGTCAGGTCCCTGGTTAGAAATACTTGTATCTACTTCAAAGTCTGCAGATTGTGAACATTTTGAAATGATTGATTCAGAGGATGATAATCGATGAGCAAAAATAGAAACTGATTCGTTGAACACTTTGAACTCTGGTRTTGGTGAATCATCTCGATAATCATTTCCAGAAAGCACCAAATCAGGTGGCAGTGTYCTCCCACTGCAGCACGCTGGCTGACACCAAACCTCATCATCCAGRTCAGAGACAGGAGAAGATAATCTGTCAAGTGTAGAAAAATGAGTTTCTAGTAAAACCCGTCCATCGTCTGGAATGGGTGACTCTGGTAAGAGCAACCCATTTTCATCCACAGACTCCACAGAYGGAGGTCGGCTTTCACCATACAATGATTCTAAAGAGGCAGACCTGTACTCAGAGTCTGAGGCCAGGGAAATGGGTGATGATGATTTCTCAACACCTGTTTGAGCTCTCAAGGCATTAGAGTCAGAGAAAACTTTACTAAAGTCTGGAATGGGAGAATCTGAAGGGAGGTGATAGGTTTTACCAGCTGACTCTATAGATGAAGGTCGRTCCTCACAGTGTAACAAATCCAGTGAGACAGAGCCAGACTCTGGATCAGAGRCGACAGAAACAGGTGATGAGGACCTCTCCAATGTGGTCCATTCAGTTTCTACTACAACCGTTCTAAACTCTGGGACAGGGGATTCTGGAAAGATTGGATAGTCTTCATCAACTGAATCTACAGATGGAGGTCTGCTCTCACCAAATAAAGATTCTGTTGAAACAGACCTACACTCAGTATCTGAGACAAATGAAACAGGTGATGAGGACTTCTCCAGTGTGGATAAGGCAGTGTAGTCTAGTACTAYTTGTCCAAACTCTGGGATGGGAGACTCGGGTGAAAGGGCTCTGTTCCCATCAACCGAATCTAGAGATGGAGGTCTGTTCTCAGTCAATAAAGAACTCAAAGACACAGATTCAACATCTGAAAGAACTGACTCAAACGATGTTGGGCGAACAGATACCGCACCTATAAAAGACTCTGATAAACACATCCCAAAATCAGGAACATGAGAGTCAATTGGCAGAGCTTTATCTGCATTCACAGATGATCCTGAATCATGAGTTGAGGGTCTATCATCAAACAGATGTGACTCATTTAAATCAGTTTCTGGTTCCAGATCTGACRATACTAACTCTGGAGACTCTGGTCTTATAGAAAGATGTGACGGACCTGAAAAGGAGGCGATGGATTGAGGAATCGAAGAGTCCGGTGTTAATGTTTGCCCTGACTGTGAGGCTTGGGCTAAAAATGGGTCCAGTAGCATCACAGGCTGGTTTTCTGGCAGTGCTTGTTTGCACATCTCTACTTGCAAAGCTGATCTTTCCTGACAAGWTCCTGACTGTGTTCCACAGAACTGAAACTTTACTACTTTGCTGATGAAGGTGTCTCCTACATACTGTGGATCACGGATTGGAGAGATGAGCTTCCTTAGTTCTGTATCGTAAACTAAGCTGAAGCCTTGCTGTGGGTGTTCTGTTAAAGATAATGTATGGTGCTGGTGTTTAATAGCTGAAGACTCTGCAGCTTCTTTAGGTACACCTGTGGTTAATGATAGACTCAGACCCTCAGATGCAGGTTCTGCTGATGATGAAGGTAAAGACCTAGCTTTGTCAACAGATTGTGGGTTCTCATTTGTTTTTAATGGAACATYTTTATGATGTTTTTTAACTTTCCTAGATTTTTTTCTCTTATTACAACCTGTCAGATCACTTAMGGGACTATGAATGTCCTCATTTAACCTTTCTTCATTTGACAAATCATGTGTTGTTTCTGTTTTAAATTCWTCAGCTGATGAAACCTCAGCTGAATGAGTACTCATGCCTAACAGTGTGGATTTGGACACTAAGTCTAGAGAAAGAGGCTTTTCTTCAACATCAGACAAAGAAATATTGACCCAGTCATCATCTTCCTCAGCTGGGACCTCAACTGGTGTTGGTGGTTTGTTCTCTGRATCAAAGATCAGTTTTTTTGATGTTTCTCTGTCATCACCAGAATCCAATGCTACCTTTGTAAATCGAACAGATTCTGTGGAGCTAGCTGAATATCTCCTAACAGATAAAACCAAATCAGATTCATCCCCTGATGGAACAGAAGAAGGTGAGAGAGCTCTGTTTTCATGATTAAACAATGAGGGAGTCAGAGAGCCATAATCTAAATCAGAACAGGCAGACTCAGGTGAGGATGGTCTGAACCCACAGGTGACAGGGTCAGGAGCAAACCTTCTAAAATCTTGGACCGGTGAGTCAGGCGGAAGCTGACAGAATGGGGTGATGGACTTTGTGGATTCAGGAGACGATGTCCTGATCTCGTCAAAACCAGGAGCGACACACGGATCAGTTGTATAAAACCAACTCAGTGTTTCTAAAATAACAGACTCAGGYGACGAGGCTCTGTCTTCTAGGTCCAAACTGAAGGACTGAGGTGAAATGGACCCCTCATCACAGCAGTCACTGCCTGGTGATACGGGCCTGCCAAAGGGTCTTCTGTTTGAAACCATTGGTGTTAAAGGCCTTTCTTCTGCTTCTGATGCACATGGAAAAGTACTCCCCCCTGGAGCTCTCAGGAGCTGCTGGGTCTGAGTTTCCGGCCCCTCGTGTTCAGGTTCCCATGGAAGAACAGGTGGAGGGAGGGGGGACAATGGCCTAAACTGTGGTACTGGAGAATCAGGTGCAAGAAAATTCAGCTCATTCATTGATGACACAGACTCAGGAGAGGAGGCTCTGCTCTCTGTCAGTAATGTTACCGTATCAGCACAAGTCAAACCCTCTAATACTGCTTCAAATTCAACWGCTTTATGTTTGGTAGAAAAGGTATCTGAGGTAATTATTTCATCCTTTTGAACCAATAAAAGTGGATTTTTAMAGTTGGCATCAAAATAATCAGCTGAATCTACATTTATGGTTGGATTAGTGTCATGAAGGGGTTCAGGATCATCTGAACTTAAGGTCTGGGCATGATCAGGGACATCTTCCTGAAGCCCACCTCTCCTGACCATCTGAATGATGTCATCAGAGGGTGAGCACACAGGTAATGTGGACACACCTTCACTGCATAAAAYTGCTGCCTCAGCATTTTCTCCATACAGGAATTTATAAAGTCGATGAGACACTTGGTCCTCGTGCCTCCTGGCTCTTTGTTGGACTGACGTTTGCTCAGGAATAGATTCTTTTAAACAAAACTCATCGGTTTCTGTAAGCTCCATAGACAGTTCTCTAAAGTCTTGTTCAGCTTCATCACCTTCCACCAAACTGTCTCCAAAGTCCATCATGGACAGCGGTTGATCTTCACACACACCAGTTCTGGAGATGTTGAATGTCTCCCTCCAAGGTGATGGAAATAAATGATCTGATAAGTCTTCAGAGTGGGTCATTTGGAGACACTCCAAGCTCCAGTCTTCTCCCCCCTCTGCCCCCTCAGGTTCAGCAGCTCCTTCAGTTGAAGGAGGCGAAATCTGTGCGCTCAGCCTGGGGGCCCCTTTATACACCGGATCTATGACATGAGAGCGGAGCTTGTAGGGAGAAGTGCAATACAACGAGAAGAACGGACTTACTTGTTTATAACTTCCTGCGTGTAGTGAGTCTGTCACTTCCTCATAGATTGTTTGTGACGACCTGTAAAACAAAACAAGAACACAACATCTTCATCTTGATATTTACTTACATAGAATAATGAAGATAACATTTGATCARCCACTGTTCTAATGATCAAAAACTGAAAACTTCAGAAACATACAATTGCTGTTTGTACAAGTAATGAGAGCCTTGTGGGCTGGAAAACTATTTGGTATTTTAGCTATTTTAGCTATATATATA